TACGAATCACAGATTCTCCTTTTTGATTAAAAGGTTATCAGAATTATCTGCCAGATTTATTTAATCTTGCCCGTTCGAGTCAGAGATCTGAAGATCACACTAACAACATCTTTGCTGTCTACTTCATAGCTGAATGCCAAGCACCCATTTTGCTCCAAAACAGTCATACTCATCTTGACTCAGTTGATTCCATTTTCAAGTGCACAAGGAAGTCCATCAAAGGGCACTACCGCCATTCCTCTGCTCTGGCTATCCATCCTCAAGCGTTTTTCCGTCTGATGTCCAAAGTCCCAAAAATTGCTTCCAATAGTAACGCAAGGACTGCCCGCAACTTAATAATATCATGCAAGTGCAGAAAAGTTTGACAAAATATCATTATTAATAAATTCTGATTTGTGTTGAAATTTAAAACTAGCGTTCTTCTACTTGATTCAGTAGAAATCAAGTAGGAACCAATAGAAAATCCTGAGCCGATGATTTGCAACACCGTGCGCCAGAAATGGAAACCGTCTCTCGGTTCCAACACAAAGATATTCGTAACTGCTGTCGTATTGTCGGTCGTTGCAAAGCGTGCAAGGCTGAAGAATCGATGTCTCGATGCTACTTGAACCCGAGGTTTTGCTACTTCTGGATCGGTTGACGAATTTGAACTTGAAACATAGTTCGTGGGTAAGAAGAATAGACAATTTTTTATCTCGCTGATGTTTTATTTTAGAAGTCGACTGTTTGCCAACACTCAGCTCGCAGTACAAGGCGATGCTTTAATTACTGTATATATTTTAATTTACTTTTATTTACATTTGTAACTTGTGCATAAAAATACTCTTGCCAAAGGCAGTTCCTTGTCAGCTTTTTCTGCTTCTTCCTCACCATAATTTCATCATGTTCATCTTCAGGATCTCTTTTCAGTTAATGAATTTTCTTGTAGCCATCTCTTTCATTTTTACTTTCACTTGCATTCACTTCATCATGTCTTCTTTATTCTTCCCTTCTTCATTTTTTCTTAACTGCCCCTTTATTGTTTTATAATCGTTTAATGAGGATTTTTTCATCATAGGATTCTTTGTTTTGTTCATCTCCTATATTTATATCGTAAGGGCGGTATCGTAATCTCGTCAATGGTCGTCCCAATCTTAGTTTTTTTTCATTCTAATCATCATTATAATCATTACCATCTTATAATCTTATTATCTGATTATCATCTCATTCTTCACTCTCAATTTGTTCTTCTTTTCATGTTCTTCTTCGTCTGGCAAAAGTTTTCATAATAATCTACATTATCTACTCAATATTGTTAAATTTCGTTGTCATTGCTTCTTAGTACTTTTGTTGCCGTCC